AAGAAAAATAAGGAAAACAACCCTAGGACGCTGATCTCACTTACAAACGCACACGCCGTTCGTGTAGGTCCATATACTAAAAGATGTTCAGCGTAATTTTTCGGAACGTGCCGCGGTCCTCAAAGTTCTTACTAGTTCTTACGAGATATCAAATGATTAAAACGAATCGTACCGTTTCTATTGTATGACGTATTTGTATGACGTTTCAGGTCAAATTTATTTAAAACTCACGTTTTTTGCATATTTTGAATAATCTAGACGCTCTTAGAACTGAGAAAGACAGGATATTTAAAGAAGTTACTTAGAAATCAGTTCGGTAAAAATTGTAATGTAGTAAATAACTTATATTAACCTATTTCTGTCCTGACTTATCTCAAACAAAGACTTAGCTAACTGTATCGTGAAAATGAAATACTTATAGCTTAATGGCGACAGTTGACCCATTGTCGCAGCTACAAGAAGCCCATGTAAGCGATATCCTTGATCGTCTAGTTTTTGTACGATCCTATAGGTTATACATTGTAATTATAAAATAAAACAAAAGAGGCGAATAAAGATCATTCTAATCCAGTCGTTCTCTTTTGCGTACTACATGAAGATAATAGAACGATTTCACATAACGATACAAAAAATGCAAATAGGTTTATTTTATGCAAATTTATTGACTGTAAWATGAATTCATGWAATCATGCAATACAGACTCTATTCTCTCACTTATTGCAGCTTTTTTGCTACTTTATATTATCATTACATCACAACAAAACACAAACAGATTTGACATGCTTCAGTCTTTGTGCCAAGCTTTGCTATAATTTCTATCATAGCACATGCAGACCTGTACCATGCAGCATCTAGTACAAGCTTAGCCTCAAATATTTTCAAAAAGGTTAACACGTCTTTCGGCCAAAAATACCACAAGATCAATGGCAGGAGGTAGTAACCACCTTGGGTGTCTCTTGGGAGTCAACCAATTTTTGAGAAAGCCAGCAAAGGCTGGCCAACAAAAAGTCAAGTCTGTAATTATATTTGGACTCAATAAAAACTGGTTTGTTTTTCTCGTGATGAATAACATTAAAATCCAATTATAAGATAGGAAACAATGCTGTAATAAGTGAGAAAATGAAGCGTGTATTGCATCATCACACGAGTTTATTTTACAGTCAATAAAATTTGCATAAGATAAACCTATTTGCATTTTTTGTATAGCTATGTGAAATTGTTCTAATAACTGGTTGGAGTTAAACATGTGTACTAAGTTTCTTTTAACTTTTTATGCAAGAAAAAATGAATAAATGCAAAAACAAAAGTTGAATATCAATGTTTTCATGGTATTTTATAAGATGGACGACATCTAGTTTCCAAACTCATACATGTTCAAACCCACGATCTTTGCCCCCCTTTAAAACAATTCATTCAAAATCCCTACGGGACAGGCCTGCTGTTAAAAGCACGTTAAAAACGAGTTATGTTCCCGTTCAGTGACCCGCTTGTACCCGGGATGGGGGTTTCAACTGACTAGTGCATTAGGGTCATGTCATAGTACGTAGAGAGGGTATCTCCTCTACTCTATGCTAGGGTCAACTATAATGCGTGTTGCTTGACTAAGTGCATGTCAGTTAAGTGATAAACCGAGTTCCTTGTAATCCAGTGTATGGAAGTTTAAAATAAAAGAAATTTATATCGAAGCGAGAC